GGCCTCGCACGTCGTCGAGCTCTCTGTTCAACCCAGCCAGAAATTCATACACCCGTTCATTCTCCACCCTTTTCTTATATCGGACACTGTCGCTAGGGCAATCCCATTGTTCAGCGATGCTAAGATCCAATTCCTGCCATAAAATAGTCATCTCCATATAATAATCGGTGACATCCCTTTCACCTTGCCTTGCCTTCCATAATTTTGTCTTAATTTCAAAAATTTGAGAGGCATCTTCCGCGTCGGAGTACATATCGCGAACGGCGTCCCAGATGTCCTTCGCAGTTGCCATGAAGAGGTAAATTTTTCCAATTGACGGCTTCATTGAATTGACGAGCCACGACATTACCATGGAATTTTCAGATTTCCATTTTTGCTGAAGTATCGAATCCGTGGGCTGCTTGGTATCTCCGGTAAGATATCCAATCCTTCCTTTTCCTTCGACTACTAACTTGATTGATTGAGCCCATTCCCTGTAATTTCTACCATTGAGCTTCTCCACCGTGAGTTGAAAGGAGGAATTATCGATTCCAATTGAACTCATGGTGGGGATAGTTTCGGTCTCGCTGGTTCCAATTTCAGAGGAGGCTGTGTGTTCTGCCATAGCCGGGTTTGACCTTACCCGTTCTCTGATACCATGAAGAAATAATGGGAGGAATGATTTTATTCACTTAACTCAACCTTACAATTCTAGGTCACTATATATAGTACAATACAATGAAGGAAAAAAGGAAAATAATATGCTAGTCTAGGAAAGTAAAGATATTCCCCTAATTTCCCAATTATATTAATATTACAAATCTTCCCATAATTAATTCGGGATTTCTACATCTCTGTATCTCTCTATGCTCACACGTGCATTCACATGTCTATCTCCTCATCTCTGTTTTATGTCTCTCCAATCTTACCTTCTTGTCTTCCTCGGCTGATAGGTCTGATTCTATCAGCTTCAACAGAGTTTTCCGGCTTCCTGTTTCATATCTTTGACGATATATTGGGGTTGGTGGACAGGGTTGGGTGTTAGCGGGCATCGAATTGGCATTGTTGTACTAATGATCTTAGATGTAGTTTATTAATTTTGGCAGGTTTCTATTTTTCTTTTGACTTGAAGAGATGGCTTTTAACATTGTATAATCATTTATTTTTATTAGCAGTGAGTGAGAACACCAATACTCACTGCTGTATTAGGAATATATAGTTTCGTTTGGTGCTTGTTATATTCTTCTATTTCCTTTCACTGTACTTCGGACTTTGGAATGTCTTTCCTTCTGAAATGTACAATTTTCTACTTCATTATAATTTGTTTGATAAGTAGGAATAATTGCTTGGCATGGGTCCATGTTCCAAACAGAAACTCGGGATGTTTATTCTTTACATCTCTACCCATATTTTTGTTGACAGTTATTCGTTATAGGTTCTTTTGTCATGACTTTTATAAGATGTTACATTTTATCAGGAATTCATCAACACAGAACTGTATGCACGTGTATCTGTAGCTGTAATGTTCAACAAACTCGCAGACATGGCAGATTTGGTCAGTTCGACGGGTGAAAATACTAACGGACTTGCTGGCATTGCATCTGGCAAAATGTTTTTGCTAGAGCTTCTAAATTTCGTGGTATTATATTCTGCTTCATGTTTCTTACTCCCAAGGCTAAAAACCAGCAACTAGGCTGAAGAAATTAGATGTAGTGAATTGATTGTGCATTTGAGATTCTGTTTGCTGATCACGCAATTTGTGTACTTCCCAAGAATAACTCTTAAAAAGGATATGCGTCAAACATTCTGAGCTGAGCCAGTTAAATGGGAATTTATGGGGGTGGGTTAAGGTAGCAGCATTAGCAGATTTATGAAGAAAGATAGCTTTAGAAATCATTAAATATACTGTGGTCAAAGACTCAAAATGTGAGAATTTTATGACCTTGGGCCTTGTTATAATGGTTTTCATGTTTGGGTTTTCTAATTCATCTGGAATCCAATGGTCTCCGTTTGCAAGTAGAACAGACAGCAAACATGTCTTTATCCTTTTGCAGTCTGTGTTGCAAGTTTGGGCAGGTGAGCTTGAGGGGTGATCTTAAATGTTGAGGAAAACTGGGAATTTTAGAATGAGAAGCAAAAGTGATGTAGGAGCGTATAATTTGTTAACAAACAAGATATTGAACATAAAGAAAGGGGGTCTAAGAAGAGAATAATTAAGGACAGAGAAATCAATCTTTATTCATATAATCATGTTATCCATTACAATGATAAGCCCTTCTATTTATAGAGCAAGAAATTGAAAGAATATCAAATCAAACGAAAATTTACTAATCTAGAACTTTATCAAAAAATCAAATATGATTTAATCTAATCTAATCTAATTAACATAACTTGAATCAAACTCTAATTTAACTTCTTATCTAAAACTCTTATCTTTATTCTTATATTTCTCTCTTCTAGATCTCCATCAAAAAGATTTTGGGGGTCCAATTTGGCCAGGTATGGAGAATATAGAGGCTATGTAAATTACATCTGAGGATATTTTCTTACGATTGTTTAGAATTTACCTAGCTAAATGATTTTTAGACTTACGGTCAAAAAATGGTCTGGCTTGCTTGTTGAGAGAAACCAAGTTATGGCCTATTATGTTTTTATGGACTTAAAATTGCAGGAAAACCTAAATGGATAAAGGGAAAATAGTCCTGTAATCACAACATAGTTGGAGATTCATGGCTCCCTCTTCTTGAAATCTACAAATTTGAAAGAAGAAAAACTAGTGTTGATCGTTTCACCTTGGTTCAGAACACTTTGTGTAGTCCAAAATCATGAAAGTTGTAGATTGTAAAGGCTGAATTAAGAGGTAAAAAATTCATTATATGCACTTTATATTCGTGTTCAAGCTAGATGCTTCTACTCCCAAGTAATTATTTGATGGGATTCTTTCCTTATTGGGAAATAATTTGATCATCAGCCCTCTCTGTTGTGGTGTTAGTGGAAAGAAGGGTAACTGCATCATGAAGTAAATCCTCATATTTTTTCTTTCTAAGATACAAGGTTAGGTAGTAAGCTTTTACCTCTAAGACAACTGAATAATATACATGTGATTTCTCAGCTTCAAATTTCAAATTTGAAGTGTATCTCGCAGATATTCTTCTTTTTTTTTTTTTTTGATAACCGTGGATGTCTGGACCAGCTTGCCGCCAACTCGACTAATCCCACGGGACCCTTAAGTTTACGGCCGAGTACTCATCTTAGTGCCATGAGGGGACTCGAACTGGTGATAATTGGGGAGCAAACCCATGATCTGACCAGTTGAGCAACCCCTCAAGATTGTATCTTGCAGTTATCTTGCAAGGGGTTAATGACTATTGTGAAGACAGAGATGTGTAAAATTAATAAAATATAAAACTAGAATGGTTGGAAGGGATGCTTTGTACTTTGGAAGAATCACAATTGATAAAGAAGTCACCATTAATTACCAACTTAAGGAACAAAACAATGTTTAAATAAGGGTTATGCCATGGCTGAGTTTTATGTAGTTCAATAGAGGAAGTTGTCCTCTTAAAGCATTGTGCTATTTGGGACTGTGAAGGATATTTGTAGCTTTGCTTAGCCATTATGCTTTTTTCCCTTCATTCGAGAAGCAAATAAAGCAAAGAGTTAAGTAGTTATTATTATTATTAAAAGATTTCAGTAACACAGTTATCTATTGGGTTATTTACTAGTTTTCTTATTTTTAGGGTCATTTACCAGTTTCTTTATTTTCTTATCTTGAAATCTTGTGAGGCTCATATGAAGGCGGACAATGATGTATTTTTTTGTCTCATTGCACGACTAATTATTGACAATAACATTAGAAATTATTCTGAAGCCCAGTTTTGTGCTCTTGGTACTGCATTATTTTCATTTATTTAATTTGTTTGAAGCATAATCATTCATTTCCTCTCTGAATATGGGTGAAAGTGAAATGACGCTATTTTGTTGGCAGGTTAATGACAAGGATCTGGCTAAGGAGTTGTATAAAAAATACAGTGCTGTAAGTTCCTCTCTGTTATTTCCAATTTATACTGATGGGAAATTAAATATAGAAAGTGTATATGAGGATCTAAACTCGTGGATTGTCTTCACTCTTTTGTGGCTTGGTTCTAATATGATTTATATTTTGTAATTTTTCTCCATTTTATCGTGCTGTGGTTACTTTAGCCATAATCAGTTATTGTTGTAGAGAAGTGGTTCATCTGTGGAATATGATGTGTATTCTTAAGATGCAGAACATAATGTCATTGAGCATCTGTGAAAGATATTTCCAATTCATTAAGCAATTATTTCCTTATGCTCAATACTACCATCATTCAGTGTACTCTGTCTTTTGATAATTATATGCACACTTCTTTTGTTTTCGGCAGATTCATAGACGCAAAGTTCGTGCATGGCAGATGATATGTGTGTTGTCCCAATTCGTTGATCAAGAAAATGTTGAGAAAGTGACATCTAGTCTGCACATATCAATTTATGTAAGTAATTTTGGCTGGTCAATTTCTTTTTGATTAAGGTATTCCAGTTTATGATTTTAAATTTGATTTACTTTAGGTGATGTTGACAAACATCAAATGGATTTTCTTTGAACCTGACTTTGCTTGGTAACACGTGAGAAAGGAATGCATGTGTAGAACTAGAATTGTAGAGAACAAGATATTTTAGAAACTATATTAGTCATAAATCTGAAATTAACTAATATCCCAAGTCATCAAAGGTGCCATAGTGTTGCAGTGGCCTTGCTTGTATAAGCCTTAGTTACAATGACCTTGAAAAGAGAAACTAAATTCTGGTTTTGTTAGTTCTGAATCATTGAAAATGAAACAATGCCTGAAATTTAAGCAACATAATATTGTGTATTTAGATTTAACAATTTGTCTGGAAAAGATATCCTATCATATTCCTCCAGGTTTTATCTTTATGCCATGTGGTAGAGAAGTAAATGGAACATTTTCGCTATGGCTTCTAAAGCATATAGTGTGTCCCTTTTTTCCTTATTATTTTCTATATTGTTCCTCACAAATAATAGAGACTATAAGAAGGGATTTGGTTAATCTGAGATGTTCCCTTCACACAATCAGAACATGGTATATTAAGATTGTTTTACGAGAATATTTTTGTGTTCTTTAGACTTAGATTTTTTTTTTTTTTTGGTTTGTATCGAGGCTTATGCCCCAACACACTCCTTGGTATCCGGTTAAGCCTTTTTAACGTTATCATAACTAGGTGGACCCTTCATTTGGGAAAATGATGCTTGAACAATAACTGCATAGAGATTGCTATTGTAGGGAAGTTTATATTTTGTGGAAATTTCGTGATAAAGATAGTAGGATTGTATGAGATCTTATTCCGGGATGCATTGTATGGTGCGTGTGGAGAGAAAGGAATAGCCGCTGTTTTGAAGACCAATCAAGAACAACAGAACAGTTCAGAGAATTATTTTATCTGACTTTGTATAATTGGTTTAATACTGTGGCTAATAACCATATAGAAGGGTTGCCTAATTTCATGTCGTTCCTGTATTGTTTAAATTGATAATACATTTCCCATGTATTATCTCTTGATTTATTAATATATTCTCTGATTACTTATAAAAAAAAAAAAATATTTTGAATTTTTTATTTTGAAGAAATGAACCCTTGTTCCAAAGATTGACGTTGATGGGTCATATAAACAATGATAGTGTCAAAGTGAGCTTTTTAAGGTATTTACTAAAGGCACCTATGGTTAAACCTGCCTGGCGGTTTCTTATGTTCTGACATTTGTGGTATTCTAACTTGTATGACTTCTGGTTTCTTAATATTTCAGTCCTTGCTACTGCATGATAGTATGGTTGACTGGTTACAGAATTTAAGATTAAAGAGTGTACTATGGATTGTGTTAGTCTATTATAATAGTTGATCTGGTTTTGAAGGAACATATCACTGGCTTTATATGGTACCATGTGTGTTTAAGCACGATTTACAGTTGTATGTAATTACAGTTAGTCTATTCTATTTCATTTCTGTATTTACAGTTATTTGTAATTATCCTATTTGTAGTTGCTGATCATGCTGATATCTACTTTCATGTCCTTGTAGAGAAGCAATTTTCCCTCAGTTCGACAGTACATGGAAACATTCGCAATCCAAATATATTTGAAGTTCCCTTTACTGGTAAAAAGTCAAGTTCTTCTTTCCTTTTCTTTCTTCCCTCTGCCCTGTGACACTCCTATTGTCGACCAATCCTTCATTTTCTGGCAGCAGAAGAATTTTTTGTTAGATCAGAAATGAGTTTAGTCCTCTAATTGGTTTTTGGCTTCTGCTTTGTTCTCATCATTGTCTTTTTCACTTTTTACTTTTCTTTTCATGCCTTTTTGTGCTCATAGGTACAATGCCGGGATTCAACTATATTTTAATTAGTGTTCAAATCATAAAATCTAATCATTATTTCATTAACCTTTTTACATGGAAAGGAAAATAAATATTTCTTTGATACATCTATGACATAGCTACCAGAAATACTTTCTCCAAAAACTTGAGTTCGAGAGCAGTTGAGGTTGCAAATTATATGCTCTGCATCAGGGAGCATGTTCTTGTTCCGAGTTAAAGTTTTTCATTAGTTATTTGGTACTTTACAATATAAATTCAGAGATTTTGGAATGGTTTTCTATTGGAGTGTAGTTTATTTAGTTTTAACGTTCAGCCATGCTGGACGAGCGTCTTAATAAATTCAGTATTTTTTTTCATCAAAGTGCATTTGACATTGCCGTATTATTACATATGCTCTTACCCATGCCATGTTGTATGGTACATTGCATGCATGCTACAATGCAATTGTTTCTAGGCAGTGAATGGAAGATTCTTTGCATAAAATATTTCTGGACAACGAGAGGAAAAATCTTGTACAATTCTTTTCTCGCCCATTTGTTATTGTATTGATGTGGTGCTATGGGCTTTGAAAGTAAGTGGTGTGACATGGTCTCTGGGCTTGCTGGCTTCATAGATGACTCACTCCCGACATTGTTGTGCAAAATGGGGGCAAGGATGTTAAGGATATGATACATGAGTCTATGATAGAGGGTGCCTTGATAAAGTTACAATGCTACCTTTGCAACTTTGTTATCTTAAAATGGAATGAGATGTGGATATTGGAAATTTCAGCCCCGTTAGCTTGGTGAATGGTGTTGTATCTTAAAATGGAATGAGATGTGGATATTGGAAATTTCAGCCCCGTTAGCTTGGTGAATGGCGTTGTACAAAATTTATAGCAAAATGTTTTATCAACGAGACTCAAAATGGTGTTGGGTGCTGTTGGAGTGCCAAATTTCTTTTGTACGAAGACAAATTAATGGCTCTATTCTTGGAAATGAAATGATCCATTCTAGATTCAGAAAAGAGGAAATGGAGGGACTTTTGAACTGTACACTGAGAAAGCGATCGTGCTTGTTAGTTTTTTTTTATGCACTCATTTTGAGGTCTAGGGGAATAAAGAACCATATTTCACTTTTGCTATTCATTTTAGTCATTTAGCAAGGTGATATAACCCTTCACTGCTTGTAGTGCTGCTGGAGCATAGATAAGGGCAAGTCACATGCATTTAAAACTTGATACTTTAGTGTTATGTGATGTTCATTATGGAAAAGTCAGAGAATTTAAGTGCATTATTGGTTTGAACTAGTTATTTGGCTTATAATGATCCTGGAGAAGTGTTGACTGTTAGCAGTTGGGGAGGTGCCTTGAGTCTCGTGCCGGCAGATTTTTGGGATGAAACGTTGGAGTCGAAGCTCTGTTTACCTTGATCTTCCTCTGGGATCTCTTCTTTAACCACCGAAGTATGGAACCTAGTTGTGGAAAAATTTGAGTGGATACTGGGGGAAGAAGAAACTAACTCCAATAGGGCTCCTACTTTATCAAGGACTTGTACTTTCTTTAGAAAACAAAGTGACAATACAGTGAAGCTTCATTATATTTCCTCCTACAACTCAGAAAATGTGGAGAAGGATCACCATAAACTCTTCAACTGGATCCTGGCGCTTTTGTTCAATTTGTTAAATATTACTCACTGAGAAAAACGTTCAACAATATAACAAAATGAGGAGGAATCATGATGAGATAACATACATAAAATTGAGATACTTGTGGTCCAAAGTGTTCTATGTATATAGATAATTAAAATTTCAAAATGACTTGTCTTTCTATTTTCTCATCATGAATTTTTATCCTTGACATGTTCGTAAATGTATATATTGTTATTTTTTTTAATCTTTTTTACTTTGTCTTTCTTTTACAGGTTGGGCAACAACTAGTTCCTCTGCTAAGGAATTACAATTTGCGAACTCAGGTAAGAGATGTGTTCATGATGTAGACCTGTGAACTTTTAGTATTAGTCTTCTTTTTATATGTTTTGATTTATTGTTGTTTCATCTTTGCCAAATGCCATATAATATCAACAATCATATTTTGGTTACGATATTTGTTGAAATGTCTCTCTTTTTCCTTGATTTCCGAAATGGGAGATCAAAATCTAACTAGATCTATCTGAAAGTTTTTTTCTTTCTGCCATGTTATTTTGAGGTCAATGGTCGACAAGGCTGGGTAATTTTTCTATAAACATTGACGCCATTTGAATTCCTGGGGGATACTTCTGAACCTTCCTCCTATCATCGATGCTAAATCCTCTTTTATATTTATTACCCCAACAAATTACGTGAAGCTTCTATTAGGTTTCATTGCAAAGCTTATTTTCATAAGAGTTTCTCTTTCTTTAGGCTCTATTTAGGAATGATGATTCAAAATGCTTAGTGAAAAGATAAGCTGGACAAAGAAAGTCTCCACAAGAGAAGGAAGATACAATGAGAAAAGGAAGTCTATGCAAGGACGGTTAAGGAAGATAGAAGACAAAGTAGAATGTGTCAAGAGAAGGCAGAAACTATTTAAAAGATAATCAAGATGTCATCTCTAAAATATAAGGAACAATTCACCATTGGATCTGAATTTAGAAATGTGGACGGTGACATGTGATGTGAGGAGCATGGCAATATAAATTCTTTAAAGATTAAACACTTATGTATTATATATTTACTTTTCTATTTTTAAAAAAATCAATCTTTTAGAGAGTAATATTTTGAAGGGTAAATAGCACATAACTTCCCCACCTTTCATTGTTATTGTGGAAAACGTCATTGCCTTTCATTTTTGACATTTTCATCCTCATTTCTACCTTTCATTGCGCAAAAGGTCATTTTTATCAATTTTTTCAATGAAACTTTATGAAATGACGAATATTCCATTCTCTTTAAATAAAAGAAAAAAGAAAAAGAAAAAAATAATTGCAATCATAGTCCTAATTTTTTAAAAAAGATTGCAAATGAATCCCAAATAAATTATTAAAAGAGTAATTAGCACATAATATCTCTACCTTTAATTTTTTTGACATTTTCACTCTTAATTACACATTTGATTACGCAAATCATTTCTATTCATTTCTCAATAAATAGTTGTGCAATGATGAATATACCCTCTTATTTAAAAAGAAAGAAAATTAAATAGTTTTTTTTTTAATTTCTAATTTTTTAATAATTTATTTGAGATTCGTGTGCACTTTTTAATTTTTTTAATAAATTTAATTGGGACTTGTTTGCACTTTTTTTTAAAGAATTTGATTTATAATTTTTTAAATATTTATTTGGAACTCATTTGCACTTTTTTTTAGAAATTTAATTTTCAATTTTTTAATAATTTATTTGGGACTCGTTTGCAATTTTTAAAAAAATTGGAACTATAGTTGTAATTAATTCTTTACCTTTTTATTTAAATAGGAAGGTATATTCATCATTTCACAGCTCTTTGTTGAGAAATGAAAGAAAATGGATAGAAAAGATGGTTTTCGCAATCAAATGTATAATCAAGGGTGAAATTGTTAAAAAAAGAAAGATAGGGAAGCTTTTCACAATAATAGTGAAATGTAAGGACATTATGTGCTAATTACCCTTTAAATAATTTATTTGGAACTCATTTGCGCTTTTTTAAAAAAGAAATTAGGACTATGGTTGCAATTATTTTTTTCTTTTTTTATTTTATTTTATTTAAAGATTCGTTATTTCACAATTTTTAATTGAGAAAATGGATAAAAATGACATTTTACACAATAAAAAGTGGAAATATGGGTGAAAATGCCAAAAAATGAAAGGTAAGGACATTTTCCACAATAATAGTGAAATGTGGGGACGTTATGCGCTTATTACCCTATTTTGAATCAGACCATACATTGTATTGCCAATTTTATATTCTAAAATTTACACTGGAGCTCTACGTGTCCTTGATGTGTCGAGATGTTTACAATATGTTAGAAATAGAAAGAATATTAGTAATATATGAAGCATGTTGAAAACGTTTCCGAGGTGTGTTCGAGAATTGGAAATCTAAAAAATAGGATATATCGTGTGGTATGTCAGAGACGTTCTTCTATTGTCCAAGAATTGTTGGCGTCTGCCACAGACATTTCATATTAGGAGTGCATGTACTTTATAGTTCTATTTTTTAAATTAAAAAGAACTATCCATTGTAGAATTGATTTAAGCAAGTCTAGTTTAGGTGCTTTGACTGAACCTATTCGCAAATCTGAAGGGAAGGGTGGTGGCTGCAACATGTGAGTTCCATTACATATACAAAGTGAAAGTTGGGGAATGGCTAAATGGGATAGCAGCCATGTGGCTAATTGTGGTGCAGGCTATGATTGGTGATGTGAGGTGGTGGTAAGTGAAGATGGGTATTGTTACGCTTCGCCTCCGAGGCTCGAAGAAAAAATGCCTCGTGACAAGCTACGTAGGCAGAAAGTCAACAAAAAAGTCAAACAAAGACCCATGAGGTCAAAATACGAAGCGACCTCAAAACCGAAGTCCTTGCTCTACAAGCCGAAGTGCTTACTGACGCACTGCGTAAAGAAGCAAAAAAAGGAGTTGAAGCTCTCCACTTAGAGAACCACCTCAAAAGATCTCTTTGAGGCCCTCAAACTCGCCTGAAGCTCATGGAGCCGACGCTGTCTCTTCTAATAGATTTGAAGATCTCTTAGAAGTGATTGATGTAACACTTGTAATTAAGTTTGTCAGTATGTCAGCCTATTGTATAGGGTGGCTGACCCTTTATGAAAGTATTAATTGTATGAATAGGCAATGATGTGAAGCTTTAGTCAGGGAGATGAGACCACGTGGTTTCGATCCAACAGTCACCACGTCGGCCAATGCAGTATAAATAGGTCTTCTTTGTAATTAAAAATGGAGGATTGGATGATTGATTAAAAGAGGGACAATCACATATATTCGAAATATTCACTTGAACTCTTGAAAGAAACATATTAATATTTCAGGTATCCTTCCACACATTCTTATTTGTTATTACATATATTAGTTTGGTTTCAATCCGGCAATTGTTGTTAGTGCGATTGCTTTTGTTCCACCTGTCGGTGCTTGAACAATTTTGTCTCTCGCTGCAAAGTACCTTCCCCGTCCATTTCCCCATTGCTACCGCCGTTACTCTGGTAGGAACGCATCGAAACCGTACTTAACTTGGCGTGAGTGGGCCAGACATCTGTTGGCTCATTTTTAGGGGTCAACAGGTATGATGGTCTTTTTTTTTTTTTCATTTTATTGAGCCACTTGATCTAAAAGATGAAACTGTTATATAAGGCCAAATGTATATTATTTTAATATTATCTTTAACATGTTCTCTCATGTGCAGGCGGAATTTAATGTTTCCTATTAAAGCTTTACACGTGCTTAATTTTTAAAAAATGGGTGGCGACGAGACTTGAATCATGGATCTTTGCCTGCAATGATAGATGTTAAACCACTTGATCTAAATGTTTAAGTTATTACTTATTAGATAAGGTCAAATATATATCATTAAATATTGATTGATTTAGGAGAAAACATGGTATTGGATGAGAAAAGATGAAAATGAACGAGAATTAATCAATTAGGACTAAAGGGGGACAGATTTTGGTAATGGGGTCTAAAGGGTCGAGTTTGGATGTTGAAGGACCACACTGCAATAATGTAGGACTTAGCTGAACAAGAAAATGGATACATGGACCGATTCCTACAAATGACAAAAGAAGTACCTACGATCGCAAGGCAGGAAATTATGAAGCTAGCAACCAAACATTGTTAACCATGCGATCGCATGGTTCATATGGGAAGCTGAGATTAGTTTTTGTAATCCGACTCAAACCTCTGATAACATTTTGGTACTCGATTTTAAACCTAAATAGGGGACTATAAATAGGTTTATTTTATTCTTTTCAAGGAAGACATAATATGGAGAGCAAAAACACATAATTCAAGATCAAGAGAGAAGAAATCAAGGAGAAAATTCAAGAATTTAGTATTTCAAAATTAGAGCTTAGAAAAGGAGATTTTTGGTGCAAGATTGTCGACCTTTCTTCGTCTTTATTTCAAAACCCAGTGATGCAGTCAATTCTTTTCTTTTATTTTTCTTTCCATGTCTCGTGTAACTAAACTTATAGTTGGGGCAAACAATGTAACCTAGTCTGAACCTTAAATTTTAATTTTCAAGATTCTTGTATTTAAGTTTTTCATGTGTTGATTTTACTTATAGTTCTTAATGCTATAAAATAATTGGTCATTATAACATTGAATTGTGAATATGTAATGAATCATGAGGTAAGTTAAATTTAGAGCACATAGTAAAATTTGGCAATTTGGATAAAAGGTAGAGATACACTTTTATGGTTATCAGAGTCATTAAATACTTAGGAGCTTAAATGCTTCTAATTGAGGCTTATTTGAATTCATATAGAGGTGGGTGAATTGAATTGACTTGACTAGATAATGTTAATTTGAACCCGAGAGGGGTAAATTGATTAATTAAGAAAAAATCGACCAAATACAACATTAGGAATGAATCTTGAGAGGCGAGATTAAAGGTGATAACTATTGGTAAAATTGCGAGTCCTAACATCATACATTCATGCGAAAAACCCTAATTTGAGTTAATTGCGCACTTTTAAATCGTTTTAGTAAAATGTAAGTATTAAGGAATTTTATTGAATCACATTTAATTGATGTTATTCGAATAGGAGTTAGGAATAGTAAATCATCTGTTGAATAATCGTACATTGTAATAAAAATCAGGCAACAATTAGCTTCAACACTTTTAATTCAAAATAAGGGTACAATATTCTTTTTACAATTTTTGGCCTTTTGGTGGTTAATCCGACAACTATCATCCGTTGGGGGCATAAATGTTCCAAAGGTGAAAGGTTCACTACCTAGATGCTTGGAATTGAAGGTTGGGGGATCTAAGTGCTTGTTTGGTAGAGATAATTATGTTATTGAGGAACATGTGGTTGAAAATGAGAATTGATTTGAGAATCAATTCTCAAATAAAAAACAAACACCCCCTAAATGCTCTATTTCACAGAGGTTGGGTACCTCAACAGTTTTCCCTACCAATTATTGTCTCCACTTGTTTTTTAATTGAAAGTTGTTCGTAAAGAAAAAGGTATTAAGCATCTACCTAATATAAGTGAACTTTATTTTGAAACAACTAAGAGTGTAGTTGTTCACATTCAATTTGGGACACAGAGGATAATGTCTTAACCACGTTCTCAAACTTTAGCTACATGTTACATCCCCATTGATTAATACATTGATTGACATATTTCCTGTGTTCAATGTATTTGTGAATTGTTACCTCACAATATACATGCTAAACTTTGCATTTTCTTTTTGTGATTTGTAACATGGAATATCAACTTTGATACCTGCCTCTCTTCTTTGCTCGTTTTCTGAAATATTGCAAATGCCCATTTAATCTGCTTTTCAGTTTCAATATATTTTTGCATTTTCTTTTTGTGATTTGTAACATGGCATATCAACTTTAATACCTGCCTCTCATCTTTGCTTGGTTTCTGAAATATTGCATATGCCCATTTAATCTGCTTTTGAGTTTCAATATATCTTGTTGAACTGCAGGCTTTATCATCATATGTATTCATAGCAGCTAATATCATTCTCCACTCAAAGGAAGAGATCCAATCTAGGCATCTTGATGAATTACTTCCTCCTATAATTCCTTTGTTGACATCACATCATCATACTTTGCGGGGATTTACGCAGGTCAATCTCTGATGAAAAATGATCGTGACATGTTTCATTTGGAGTGTATAGGTGTTTAAATCTGATGGCTGTATTTTTTTGTAGATATTAGTGTATCACGTTCTCCAAAAATTGTTGCCTTCATCAGATGGTGGGTCTAGTTTCACCATGTCCTTGGAGAAAAGGTGCTTTGAAGACTTGAAATTTTACTTGGAGCATAACTCGGACTGTGCACGGTATGGTTTGATATCCAGAATCATTGTCCTGAAATTCTCTTTTGCCGAAAAAAATAGCTAGCTTACTAAAGTAGTTAGGACTTACTAGTTAGCAGAACATATGTTACATGTAAATTGGCTTCAATTGTCTTGGCATTGATCTTTAACTGTCATTCTTAAGCTAAGAAATTTTTCTTCAAGTACGTAATTAATTGTTTGAGAAAAATGCAAGTAAATCATTTGAACTCAGATTTTAACTATCCATTGTTCAGACACACTATAATTGTGTTTCTTTGTTTGTTTCTCCACTAGTATGTTTTAAAACACTTTGAATCCCATTTTTCATTCAGACGTGCATTGAATCTGATACTGCATAGTTAATGAGTTCTAATGTCTTCTATCTTGGTTCTTTTTAGTTGATTTTTTTTATGTGCATTAACAATGATAGTAGAGTTCAAAGTTTAAATTTCAAACTGTAATTTTTAGATGAGACAGTGTGAATTTTTTTTTTTTTTTTTTAAATGAGTGTAAGTTTTGATCTCCCTTTTCGTTACTAATGTTCACATTTTTGGCTTCCATTAACTTTAGTTGGACTTAATAGGAAGTATTTTTATCACTAAATTGAATCAAATCTATAGCGTGTTTGAAAAGTTATTTAAGCAAACTGATGTAGTACATGACAACTATAATTAATAGTTTCACTTTATTTAGGAGTTTGTCTTTTTTAATGACCTTTTCGAGGGCTGTGGTTAGTAGTTTGTGGGAGGGGACAGCATGTAGGATATCAATTTCTGGAGTCTTCGGGGGCTTTAGGAGGTGTGCTTGTCATGTGGGATACTAGAGTGTTTGATATGGAGGAGGTTAGCGTGGGGTTATTCACCATATCGCTTTCACTTAGGAATATAGCGGATGGATTCCGGTGGATGTTTATAGGAGTTTATGGTTCGAATGCTGATGGTAGTAGAGGGGGCTTGTGGGATGCGTTGGCCACTATGATGGCTTGGTGGAGTCTCCCAACGTGTATTGGGGGTGACTTCAATGTGGCTCGATTTCCTTCTAAGAGGTCGAATGGTGGGAGACTTA